CCGTTCTCCTTTCCTTTCCACTCAAACATTTCTTTTTTCTTTCCTTCTTTTTTGTTTTTTTTCTCTTGTGTGGGAACACATTGGCGGAACACAGGCGTTCTTTAGTTTGGGGAACTCCCCCTCTTTCTAAACAAACATAACTTGCGCGAAAAAGACCCCAAACCCACCCTTTCAACCCAAGCGGCCAACACGGGGGGGCGCTTGGGCCGCACACATTTCCTCTAACAAAAAAAAAAGACCAACCCTCTTTTTTCTGGACAAACTTTTCTCTTCCAGTGAACCAAACTCCCTTCCGTTCTAACAAAACCAAACACGCTTCTTTTTTTTTTTGGGCACACATCTGGGCTGCTTTTCCTGCTTCTTCTCACGCCAAGACGCAAACCTGTGTGCTTCTCACTTTCTAAATCCCAAAAACCCCCGCCAGAGGGAACTCCCCATTTAGTTTTAAGCCTCGCCGCTTACTGCTTGACACTTGGGCGGTTGGCGTTTTCTGAAGCGTTTTTGGGGTTTGGATTTTTTTTCCTTTTTTTTTTTTTTTTTTGGTTTTTTTGTGGAGGGAAAACAAAAGCCCAATAATCCTTTTATCATTTTTTTCCCCCCCTTACGAGTTTTTTGGGAAAACAAGTTTTTAGAAAAAAAAACCCCTTTTAACAAGCTTGTTCGGTGTCCCAACGGAAGGGTTTTTTGTCTTGTGTTCCTGGTGCGGTCCCGACTCCAAGATTGGGATTTTCGTTTTTTGTTTTTCGGTTGTGTTCCCCATCCCTTTGAATGGTTGGGATTTTTCCTATTTAACGATGGCCCCAATGTGCGGGGTCAAAAAAAAAAGAAAACGTTCCCCTGCGGCAAAGAGATCCGACGGAGGTCAGGGAAATGGCGGAGGATGAGAACAGGAAATGGCGTCGGACTCTTTCTTTCGCTGTCTGTGTTTTGTCCTTTGTTTCTTTTCTTAGAGTTCTTCTTTAACTCGCTTCCCTTTTTCCTCGCAAATCTGAGGTTTTTGTGTTGGGAACGGCCCCCGCCCCCACCATTGGGCGCGCTTCTCTTCTCTCTCTTCTTGCGTCCTCCAAAAACCCAAAACAACTTGAAAAAAATTAAAGCATAACACCCTGTCCCCCCCACTACACTTCCTTCCGAACCACCAAAACTACGCGATGTACTTCTGAACCCCAAGATTGTAACACACAAGTCCCCCCCGCCCAAAAACATCGTCCCCCCCACACAGCCGCATTCGTTTTTTTTACCCCTTTTTTCTGCCATCCCTTTCAATTTTGTCTCTCGTTTTAAAGAGCGTTCTTGCCTACTTAACACAAGAAAACCCGGCCCTCTCTCTTTGGCCAAACAAACAAAAAAAATCGGATAACCCGACGGGCCCCGATTGGCCGTTCGCTCCTCAGTCGTGGCCTTTCTCTCCTTGTTTACCCACAGGCATCCCCCGAAACTCGGCGCGCTGCTCTTTCCCCTTGTTTCACCTCTCTGGGGCGCTTCTTCCTCTTTCTCCCTTCCCCCCTAAAAAGGGCACACCAAAAAATGGCGGTGTGGTATGCGCGTGTTGAATCAGCGGGCATTCTAAACAGCCCCTACTGTTCAAAACCAGCCCCACAAAACTGAAGTGGACTTTGCTTTTTGCTCCGCGCGTCTTTCTAATTATTCTGCACAGCCCAGGCTGGCACGCTTCCACAACCTTCCCTTCAGCCAATTACGCTCTAGCCCATCTCTCTGGTTTTTCCTTCTTTTTTTTTCTAAACCCACAATTTTCCAAAAACAAAAAAACCTTCAAAGACAAACTTGAAGACGCTTTGTTTTTCTGCCTTTCTCCAAACTTTCTAAAGAACAACTTTCTTTCAGTCCCAAAAGACAGTCTTCTTGAAACAAACCAGCTCCAATCTTGGTTCCCCAGCCTTTCAGAACCTTTCGAGAAGGCCAAAAAAGCAAAAGGAAAGGAGAACCAGAACTAAGATCACCTTCCCAGTGGGAAACCTTTTTTTTTCGGTTGGGGAAACTGGGAATCCTTCTTTTGGATGCTAAATAATGCCCCCCCACATGTTCTGAAAAACCAAAATTTTCCAACGACACCAATTTGGGTTTTTAAAGCCCCCGGCTTTTGCTTTTGCGCCTCTCTTTGTCCTTTCTCCTGTTGTTCTTGTCTTTCTTGTTCTCTTCCCTGAATTCTTCTTTTGTTTTTCCTGTTTTTACTTTATTCAATGTCCAAGGGGAACAGAAAGTCAAACCAAACACCAACCGGGGGGTTTTGCCTTTGCAACATTTTTTAAAAAAAAAAATGCTAAAATTTTTCAAACAAGACAGTTTCGCAGCGGGGTTGTATTTGGTGGTTGGGGGGGGGGAAAAAGGCCCCCAGACTTTCTCTTTTTAGGGCGGTAGTCTCTTGCGGGCTTTGCTTTGGGTTTTTTTCTTTTTTCAGCCAAAGAACGTCCCAAAAAAAAGAAAACAGCGGTGTCTGGGCCCGGTAAAAAGCCTTTCCCCAAAAACTTTTTTGTCGCCCCACCTCTTGGTCTAGGGCGGGTTTTTTTGCGACACCCCTAAAAAATAAAAAGTGGACCTGTACAACTAAAACGCCAAAAAAAAACTTTTTCTTGTTATAAAAAGAATTCATCCTTTAATCCCCCCATTGTCCAAAATCAAGCCCCAGACCCACCAACAGCCCCTCCTTTCTTTTCCCCTTTTAATTTATCCCTTTCCCCTCCGTGCCGTCTTTTTCTCCGGGCGCTTTTTTTTGGTTTGTTGCGGCCGGGCAGGGCTGGGGAAGGCAAAAACAAAAGGGGGCCCCGCTTTTGGGTTGGAGAACCGTTGAATAGCGGGCCCCCGCCCGCGGGCCTCCCCAAGGGCGGCCGGCCCGGCAAAAACCCCGTCTCCACCTCCCCCCAGCGCCCAAAAAACGCGCGCCCCTTTCCCCAAGGCAAAAAAGTTCAAGAAAACATGGACCAAACGAATCTAACGAAAAAATGGGAAAGAGACGTTGTCATAAAACAGTTGGCCCAACGGGGGTGGAAGAGGGGCGCCGAGAACCAAACCCATAGCACAAAAGCCCGAGCCGTTGGGGGGAGAGCCCGCCCCCCCTTTTTGTTGCCTCTTTTTTTGTTTTTTCAGGGCGCGCCACTCTGGGACAAGCAAAGGGCTTTTTTTTTAAATCTTCGCCGCCTTTTTTGGGACCCCGGGCCAAAAAAGCAAAGCCCCCCCACCGGAGACACGCAAAAACCAAAAAAAATCTTTTGGATTTCCAACTCTCCTTGCTGGGGAAAACCGGTACAAACTTGCTGCAGACCAGCCCGTCTGAAACAGAGCCGGCCAAAAATTCTTTTTTTCCTGCCCTGTCTTTTTATTTAAAAGGAAAGCCCTCAATTCTAATGTGGAATGTTAAACTCAGGGGGGACAGCCCCGCAAGCGGGGGGTCTTTCGCAAAAAGATCTTTTTTCTTCTTTTATCTGGGGCGGAACTTTTGGGAGGTAAACAAAAAAAAGTTGGATTTTCACCAACAACTAAATATTTCCTGCTGAAGAAGATAACAAAGTCCCCCCCACAATCAAAGGTCTTCATCCAAGCTTCCATCTAAAAAAAAAATTGTTCAACCCCAAAGAACGCGGCGCGAAAGGGGGGTCCCCCCCGGTTGTCTCTGCCCCTCGAGTTGTTTATGGTTAAAGGGGGCCTTTTTTTCCCTTTTTTTTTTTTTTACCGAGGATACCACGAGAACGTGGGAAACGGCCCCCAAACTGGGTGGGGGGGGGGAATGGGACAACCAAAAACTGGGGCGCCCCGAGACTGGGGCCGCTTCAAAAGTCTTTTTGCAAACTCCCCCCCCTCTTCTTCGGTAAAAATGCGTGTCAACCGGTTCTTGCTTCTTCTCGTCCCCCCGGGAGACTCCGCCCCCGTTGGGCATCTGCCTTTGTTTGGCTGTCTGTTTTTTCGGTTTTTTCTGAAGCGGTTGGGCTTGTTGTTGTTGTGCTTTTGTGGGGAAAAAAGCGTTGTCCCGGGGTTTTGTTGGGGTCCCGCCCAAGAGGTCGTTTTGTTGGGGCGGGGGCCGGGCGGGGGAGAAAACTTAAGGGGGGGAAGAATACGTTTCCCCACGGCGCTCTGCTGGCGTGGGAGGTGGGGGCCACAACAAACAAAATGGAGAACCCGTTGGTTCTTTTAGGGAAGAGAGTTGTTGGGGGCCCGCCCAGGAGAGAAACAAACTAACTACAACTGCTTCGACTTCCTGAGCCATCCCCCCCAAAAAGGATACCCAACTCAAACCGTTGTTTGATTTTCTCCTCTTGTTGCCTTCTTGTTTCTGGGACAAAAGCGCCCCCAAAGTTGTCACAAAACAGACCATTTTACGTTCTGTATTTGAAACCCCTAAAAAAAAACCCTTTTTTCGCTTGTGCCAGGTGATTTGGTGGCACGAGTAAAAGGTTCAAAAGGCCATGGTTTTAAAATGAAGGAAAAAAGAGTAGTCTTTTTAAAAAAGGAATCTCTAAAAAAAAATAAATCAAACTAAAAGTTGGTTTTCCCCTTCTTTTTCTTAAATTCTTTTCTTGCTCCCCCCAAACCCTTTGTGAAATTCCCCTTTGCCCGTTTTCTTTTTGTTTTTTCTTTCCAGTGAAAACCTTCAAAACAGGCCCATTTTTTTTTCATCTGCTTAGTTCCCCTAAAATGTGGGGCCATTTGAAACAAAAAGACGCCAAAATTATACAAAAGAAAAAACATCTTTTGTAAAATAATGGGTGATCTTCTAATTTTAATTTTATTTTTTTTTTTTTTTTG